AGACAGTGGAAGGGCAACATAGGACATACGACTAATGGACTAACATGGATTTAATAAAGACAGAAACAGCATACCTGTGCTCAAAAGTGGGGTAACTCATTACTAAACTATTATGCTCATTTGCTTTATGCTTACTTAAAGTGGTAAAATATTGCCCTAATGTTTTCATATTAAACCTTTAAACTAGTTATGCTTTGTAACTAGTGCGGACAGTGCTTTTTAATCTTACATATTATAAAGACGTTTGCTAGAAACCTCAAGATGAGTCTGCTTCTAGCCTGAAGTAAGGTCATCTCCAGGTCATCTCATCATCTTCCCCGCAACCATACCCACTGCAAGACCCTTGCCCCCACCATCTTCCTTACTCTAAGACTCCTTCCACTTTCTGAGCTAATTCATCTGAATGTAAATGACTGAGTCCTGATGCTTTACATTCTACACATGTAAGCAGGGTCTGAACCACTGCTTCCAATGAAGCCAACTGCCCTGTAAGATTCAACTGTTAATATGTAATTACATTTCATGCTGGAATGGGAAAGGAATCTGGAGTGTGGTTATGTAAATCCAGTTCAGCCAGTGCTATAGGTAGCCAGTACAAGCAGCGGTAGGCAGCCAGCGGGGCAGCCAGGGGGGGGGGTGGCCAGTGGAGCGGCTGGCAGGAGCAGCGAGGAGTGGCCAATGGAGTGGGTGAGACACCCTCTATCACCACCTCCTGCCCAAGAGTGGGAGGTGAGCTCTGAAAATCACTTCGGAGCTTTGGTCTGCCTTGACCAAGGGCAGCCACTGTGAGTGGGGTACACAGAAAGGTTGGGCATGCAAATGGGACACTTTCATTGCTGGATTTGTGAGCCTGAGAGGCAAAAGATATTGCTCAATCCGCTTGAGCTGGGACATTCACTCATGGGTTGGTTATGAACTCTGTCGCTGTGTCTAGACTGGCAAGTTTTTCCGCAAAATCAGATGATTTTGCGGAAAAACTTGCCAGCTGTCTACACTGGCCGCTTGAATTTCCGGAAAAGCACTGACGATCTCCTGTAAAATCATCAGTGCTTTTCCGGAAATACTATGCTGCTCCCGTTCGAGCAAAAGTCTTTTTCCGAAAGACTTTTGCGTGAAAGGGCCAGTGTAGACAGCACAGTACTGTTTTCCGAAAAAAAAGCCCAGAGCGGAAAACCGCGTCTAGATTGGCCATGGATGCTTTTCCGCAAAAAGTGCTTTTGCGGAAAAGCATCCTGCCAATCTAGGCGTGCTTTTCCGAAAATGCTTTTAACAGACAACTTTTCCGTTAAAAGCATTTTCGGAAATTCATGCCAGTGTAGACGTAGCCTGTTTGTGGTGTTTTCCCACGTTAATGCCACGTTATTTCTCTCCCTCTTTCATTAAAAGTTTCTTTCTTACACTCAGACTCCGTGCTTGCAAGTGGGGAAACATTGCCTCTCGGAGGCACCCAGGGGTACGTGAATTTCCCAGGCTATTGGGTGGGGGCTCAAGCCAGTTCTGTGTGGGATGGATGAAGAGGAACCCCTAGATATTGAACCCAGCCCTGGCTGCTGCCAGTGCTTCCTGGCAGAAGGGTTACACACAAAACTAAACTCTAATAATATCCTTTACCCCTAAGATATTTGCCAAATTCCTGGTTTTCAAATCTTAGGACTGGTGTTTATACAGTATCAAAGCAGCCATAAGGGAGCGCTGGTTGGGCAGTGCTGCGCCAGGAAAAAGATTACATTTGAAAAAAAAAAATGTGTAAACAGACAGCTTTTAAAACAATATAACCTATAAAGTTCAGGTCTGCCTTACCTCTCTATCAAGTCCAGCTGCTACTGTGATAATGTCACCAGTCTCATTGTTGATTGTAAACATATTCGGTGAGGGGGTGCTTGGGGCCTGCGACAAGATTCTATATCTCAGCATCCCATTCAGTGCATTGGGATCATCAGCATCAATAGCAGTGACAGTCATTACGTAGGTTCCTAACAGCACAATAAATAATTAGTATTAAATAAACAGTTTGCTTGAATTACACAAGGTCATTTCCAAGCACAAATAATGGTCAAAACATTGACTTCTTTTGATAAACATTACACATTCTTTCCTTTAACCAAAGGAAATGGAATAGGCCTAAGTCCCAGGATTAATGAAGCAATTGAGCACATAATACAAGATAACAACACTGGTGTTTATACAGTATCAAAATTGCTTATTACTGGAAAAAGCTCCAAAAGGTAATCAAATGCTACAGTTCTACCATAAACACATTTAATTAACAATGAAGGCTCTAAAGTTTAAATAGCAAGCTCAATTGCTGGGCGAAATGAAACTTACGATAGTAAAAACAGGTTGAATTTTAAAATGTGGTGTATATGTTAACTGTGTATGAGAATCAATGTAACAACAAAAAAATCAAAATAAAGGCTTTTCTAGATAGAATTTCTTTTGCCTTTGCAACCATGACGGTTTTAAAATCATGTTGGTTCAAGAACTTGGCATAATAGGTCTTCAAAGAAACAGTGGGGCATGTCAGTTGTCCTAAAAAATCCTTGGAGTGCAAAGAAAAAGGTTTTTTCCACAAAATTTGTATCCACATGTAAATCTCAACTTCTTCCAACTTTGATGTTGTTCAAACACATAATTCTGGTTCTGAAGAAAGCCTGAAGCTGTGCAGATTGATTCCAAATCCAATTTTTTCCAGTATTACTGAGATTTACATCTAGGCCTATCATATGCATATACATGCCCCAATCCTGTAATTAGAGTGCATCTAGACTACAAGGTTTTGTTGACAAAAGTGGACTTTTGTCAACAAAACTATACCTGCATCTACACTACCACCAAGTACTGTTGACAGTAAGTCGACAGAAAGCAGTTTTGTCGACGGCAGTAAACCTCATTCTACGAGGAATAACGCCTTTTTTCGACAGTTACGTCGGAAAAAGGCGCTATTGCAGCCATACTGTGCTTTTTCAAAAGAGAGCGTCTAGACTGTCAAAGAAGTGGCTTGTTTTGTCAACAGAGCTGGCTGTAGTCTATACGCTCTTTTTCAACAGAGGCTTTGTCGACAGTATCTGTTGACAAAGCCTCTGTCCAAAAAAGCCTGTAGTCTAGACGTACCCTTAATGACATGCAGTTGACAATTGCACTTGTTCTCTGTCAATTGCATGACTGCATCTATTAGAGATGCTAATTTTAGACTCTTGTTTTTCTCAGTCTTGACCTAAATAAATTGTATCACATAGATCACAATCTACTATGCAATACATATTATATTACATATAGTTACTTTATATATAAAACAGAGAATAATCTCAAAATTTATATGTAATGTTATAAACTCTCTGAGGTTATTACATGGTGTTTCTTTTTTAATCAAGAAAACTATTGTAGATTTTTTTTTTAAAAAACGTTGAGGTTTTTTTTTTCCTAGACACCGAGTCACTGGTTTCTTGCAGTTACTGCCTTTGAAAAGGACACTTGTGTAGGCTGCTAGAATATAATACACAAAAATCTTCAGGGTGTATAAATACTCAAAACTGTCACAGGATAAACAGAAGATAAAACAAACGATTTTTTCCACTACCAAATACAGTGTCATTATTGTAAATCTGTACACCTTTTAGTTTTATTTTTAATCCCATGGAGTTCTCTTTGCTCAAAACCTGACTAGTCAGGGGAAAAATTTTATTACAGGAAGGGGCATACTAAAAGATCACTAATCAGTTACCTAGAAACATGCTATATCTTCCACAATAAATTGCAAAACAGTTATTTGGCCTTCCTTATTTTTCAGATTATTCCAATCTTGAATGGGGGATACCATAATGTAAATATTTGGTTGTTGTCCAAATACAATATTTCTTTCTCCATTTTTCTTTTCTGCATTCTCTCTCACTCATTCCCTAACACGTGTAATGCTTTTTTCTGTTAAATTAATTTTTATCATCCAAAAATAAAAATTACAAATTAGGGATAATGACAATATAGCATCCTGAAGTTTTTGTTGATGCATCTTTCAAAACCATTATTACTTCTAAATGTATTTTTCTCTGAAATTAAAACAACCAACCAAACAAACTATTTTTACACAGAAAGCCTGCTTTTACCTGGCTTTGATCCTTCAGGGACTGTCCCATTCCAGACCTGGTGTAAGAACTCAGGCCTATTGTCATTCATATCAATAACATTAATGACAATATCAATAGGATTCTCCACCTGGTTTCCATTTACATCCACTGCATGTGCTCTCAGCTGCAAAAGTCATTGGTAATTATGTGAGCTTACAAAACATCTGAACATACATGCACATTAGTACAGAAGACAAGAAATTGTACACTAACCATTTTACCCTGAAATATTTCAGAATCTTATTACTTCCCTATCTTGAAGACTCAATTTTCAGTTTACTTAAGGGGAGTCTGTGGAGCCTGAATTAAACGGGCAAAACACATGTAACTGAGGGCAAAAGGAGCTTATTAAATTTAAGGATAGATACTAATTTCTTTTTATTTTCTATTTTTGAAGGTCCTTTTTCCTTCTGGAAATGTCTTGCGTTGAGAAAGAAAAAATAGTCTCAATAGTTTACCCAGAGGAGATAGATTTATGAAGGGCAGGTTTCAGAATGCCCAAGGCCTAATTAATTTAAGGATCCTGAATTACTTTTGGAATAATAATACTATAGAACGTTTTACAGGCTTTTGTACTTCTTAACCCTGACTGCTAGTGGAAAATGTCCTGAACTATTCTACATGGAGATCTTCTGTCCATCAGAAAATGTTTGTTGGTGATCCATCTGGAACAAGTATTGCTTCATTTTTGTAAATTCTGGAATGGTATTATGTAAACTGTGTTGTAAGAATATATCAAAGGAAAAGAGAATATTCTTAACTTACAATCTAAAAAAGACGAGTACAGGCAGTCCCCGGGTTACGTACAAGATAGGGACTGTAGGTTTGTTCTTAAGTTGAATTTGTATGTAAGTCGGAACTGGCATCCAGATTCAGCCGCTGTTGAAACTGACCAGCAGCGGCTGAATCGGACACGCCTGGGGCAGAGCAGCTGGGGAGCTGCCGGGTTGGTTCAGTAGCGCCGAGGAGCGGCACTGCGGGACCAACCCAGCAGCACCCCAGCTGCTCTGCCCCAGGTGTTCCCAAGTCAGCCGCTGCTGAAACTGACCAGCGGCTGACTACAGGAAGCCCTAGGCAGAGCTGCTCTGCCCCGGGCTTCCTGGAATCAGCCGCTGATCAGTTTCAGCAGCGGCTGACTTGGGAACACCTGGGGCAGAGCAGCTGGGGAGCTGCCGGGTTGGTTCAGTAGCGCCGAGGAGCGGCACTGCGGGACCAACCCAGCAGCACCCCAGCTGCTCTGCCCCAGGTGTTCCCAAGTCAGCCGCTGCTGAAACTGACCAGCGGCTGACTACAGGAAGCCCTAGGCAGAGCTGCTCTGCCCCGGGCTTCCTGGAATCAGCCGCTGATCAGTTTCAGCAGCGGCTGACTTGGGAACACCTGGGGCAGAGCAGCTGGGGAGCTGCCGGGTTGGTTCAGTAGCGCCGAGGAGCGGCACTGCGGGACCAACCCAGCAGCACCCCAGCTGCTCTGCCCCAGGTGTTCCCAAGTCAGCCGCTGCTGAAACTGACCAGCGGCTGACTACAGGAAGCCCTAGGCAGAGCTGCTCTGCCCCGGGCTTCCTGGAATCAGCCGCTGATCAGTTTCAGCAGCGGCTGACTTGGGAACACCTGGGGCAGAGCAGCTGGGGAGCTGCCGGGTTGGTTCAGTAGCGCCGAGGAGCGGCACTGCGGGACCAACCCAGCAGCACCCCAGCTGCTCTGCCCCAGGCGTGTCCGATTCAGCCGCTGCTGGTCAGTTTCAACAGCGGCTGAATCTGGATGCCAGTTCCGACTTACATACAAATTCAACTTAAGAACAAACCTACAGTCCCTATCTTGTACGTAACCCGGGGACTGCCTGTATCTATTTAATTTTGCTGGCAGGGTATGGCAAAAATTGTTCTCACTTAACAATTGAAAATTCAACAGTCTAAAGTTTATGTCTAATTCTTCCTAAGTGATATTTGGGAGTCCTACTCAATATACCTTAAAGAAGCTAATACAGTCAGTGCTATGTCCACAGGAGAGCTTCCCTGCTGACACAGCTACCACCTTTCATGGAGGCAAGACTTATTAAGACAATGGGGCTATGTCTACACTACACAGTTATTTTGGAATAAACTACTCGGCTACGTCTACACTGGCCCCTTTTCCGGAAGGGGCATGTAAATTTCATGAGTCGTCGTAGGGAAATGCGCGGGGGATTTAAATATCCCCCGCGGCATTTAAATAAAAATGTCCGCCGCTTTTTTCCGGCTTTTAAAAAAGCCGGAAAAGAGCGTCTACACTGGCCCCGATCCTCCGGAAAAGGGGGCTTTTTCCGGAGGATTGGGGCCAGTGTAGACGCTCTTTTCCGGCTTTTCTAAAAGCCGGAAAAAAGCGGCGGAACTTTTTATTTAAATGCCGCGGGGGATATTTAAATCCCCCGCGCATTTCCCTACGACGATAGGTGAAATTTACATGCCCCTTCCGGAAAAGGGGCCAGTGTAGACGTAGCCCTCTAGTATAGTTATTCCGAAATAGCTTATTTCAAAATAGCACATCTACACTGCAGGAAAACCTCAAAATTAGTCCAAGGGAGGCTTCCCTAATGTAGACGTGCTATCTCGATTTAGAACCCCAGTAAGAATAACTTAGAATGGCCATGGAGAGGGGCTGTTTCAAAATAACAGAAGTGTAGCGTCTACACGCACCTTATTTCAAAATAGCTATTTTGGAATAGGTGTTATTCTTCGTAGAATGAGGTTTACAGAAGTCGGAATAAGCCATCTGTTATTTCAAAATTATTTTGAAACAATGGAATTGCCATGTAGACGCTCGCATAGCTATTTTGGAATAACGGCAGCTATTCTGAAATAACTTTGCTGTGTAGACACACCCTGGGACAGCACTTTCCTGTAGGCTTAAGACTGTTTCCACCAGAAGTGCTACAGTATTGGAGCTGTATCGGAGCAGCTCCATTGGTGTAAATGCTAAATGCATCCTGAAGTGGAGATCTGGGAGGCAAAAACATGTAAATGTAGCTCAGAAGTTGTTTTGACACAGAGTTATAGGACACAAGGAGTGAGATTTGTCTACCATGTTCCGGAAATTCTGTCTTAAAGCAGGGCTACTCAACACGTGGCGGCGCACAGCCGTTTGTTTGCAGCCCACGGTGTGGTTTGGGTTTACGCAGAGCTCAACATGTGGCCTGCGGATGGGATGCTTTGAACATGGCCTCCACTGGGAATATGCTCCAGGTGAAGAGCCTCCCAAGTGGGGCAAGCATTGAAAGATACAAGCGGATGGGCTGGCTGGAACAGCTGGGTACAGGGTGTCGGCATTTCTAGCCCCCAAGGAGAAGGCGCCGGGAGTGCTGGGGCATTGTTGGGAAGTGCTTTGTATTCATGCCTCTTGCTTCAGGGTGCAAGAAGCTATTTGCATATATATTTGCATACATATGCAACCACATTTAAGTTGTGGCCCTTGGCATGTGCTGAGAGTATCGTTGTGGCCCTCGGGGCATCCACAGTTGATTAGCCCTGTCTTAGAGCAGTGCTTCTCAAACTGGGCGTACTAATGGGTCACTCCAGTTTGTTTACCTAGGCTGCATCTAGACTACATTCCTTATTTTTTGTAAAGGGATGTAAATTAGGCATTTCGATATTGCAAATGAAGCTGGGATTTAAATATCCCGCCCTTCATTTGCATAATGGCATCTGCCGCTTTTGTCAAAACAGGGCTTTTTCAAAAAACAAACAAAAACGGCAGTTTAGACGGGAATCTTTCGAAAATAAAACCTTTTTCGAAAGATCCTGTAAACCTCATTTTTTGAGAAGTACAGAATCTTTTTCAAAAGGGTTTTATTTTCGAAAGATTCCCGTCTAAACTGCCGTTTTTGTTTGTTTTTTGAAAAAGCCCTGTTTTGACAAAAGCGGCAGATGCCATTATGCAAATGAAGGGCGGGATATTTAAATCCCAGCTTCATTTGCAATATCGACACGCCCAATTTACATCCCTTTTCCAAAAAAGGAAAGTAGTCTAGACATACCCTTAATGGCCCTCACAGCTCCCGCTGGCTTCAGTTCACTGTTTGCAGCCAAGAGTTGCTGCGGAAATCAGCATGATCCAAGCTGCTGCTTTCTGTGGCTCCCTTTGGCTGCAAACAGCAAACCGCAGCCAATGGGAGCTGCGAAGCTCCGTGGCTGCGGAGTCGTTAAGTAAACAAACTGGAGCGGTCAGTTAGCAGCTCTCTCAAAGTGGACCCATGGTCCACTTCGAGAAACACTGTCTTAAAGATTGTCAGAAAATTCCTTAGACAATAATACTTAAAAGCTGTAACTGAAAAGGAAAGAGCTAAAACAAATTATATTGGTAAATTCAAATTCTTGGTAAAATCTGATGAATTTTAGAACTGCTTCAACCTAATATGGTTAAACTCCATGAATGACAACTGCCAAATCCCCTGTCCAGGAAGCAGGGTTACACTTGCTCCTCAGATGAATTGTTCACTATAGCTATTTTACTCTGGAAATTCTCTCCAGGAACTCTCTCTTTCCCCCTATCATTTCAAATGGAGGCCCATTTCAGGTCAAAACTTGGTTTCCTGCTCTGCAATCAAACTTTTTTTTTCTATTAGGGCTGCAGAAATATTTGGTCTACTTTGCAATTTCTTTAGAACAAAGAACATAGCTTTCATAAACAGAGAGACCTAATTTACAATTATAATTCCATTAAAATGCTTAGATATGCCCTGAAAACGAAAACTGGTAGCTTTTCTTCCCATCCATTTCTTACATTTTAGCAGCTGCAATTCCAGTATAATTATGTGCAAGTTAGGGTGTTATATTAAAAATAAACTTCTGGCAAACGATACGGTGGAATTTGTAATCAATGGCATAAATCAGAAAAACAAACTACAGCATTCACATTTCAGCCTTTTTTAATTATCTAAATACAGTAAATCACATTTGTTAAGCTGTTTAAACATGTGAGGAGTTCCCTGTATTACGTATAATAAGTAGAATAAATATAAATTCCAATCCGTATAAACTCTTTAAACCACATCTTGTAGAAAATTGTGCCAGATGCACAAATCAAATTTGAAGCAGATGTTACTCTTTGATTTGATAATCTGGTTTATGGCAAATTAAAATCTTACATGAAATGAAGCTATCTGCTCCCGATCTAAAGGTTTCGTCACTGACAGTTGACCTGAGATTGGATTGATGATGAAGATTCCAGTTGGAGGTTGGTCAGCTCCTGGTCCAGTAACACTGTACCTCAGCGAAAGACTTTTATCGCGATCAGACCTAATCTAAGTGTCAAGAAGATGAGGCTTATGTAAGTTAAACAGAACAAGAAACTAAAATTTAGAGTGAAGAACAGTAGATTGTCATTCATTTAATTATATTTACAAGACAATAATGGCAGAGGCATGAACACTAATAGACTTTCAATATTTTACAATACACGGTCTGAAAATCCGTGTCTGAAATTTTCAGAAGTGTAATGTGACCCTTCTGTACTTTCTTCCCCCACAAGGGGGTGAATTATATTACTAAATAAAAATTAGATGC